CTTAGTATGTCAAGTAGCACTTAAGTAGGCTGCTGGTTTTATTCATTCCTAGAGACTTGGTGACCATAGACCATCACCAAAAATCCTTGTAGTCAAACACCCTGATTTCATTCCTTCCTCCTGAAGGTTATCATGATAATCATGCTGAACATGTCTTTGACAGTTAAGAATCCCCCACCTGGCCTTCTCTGGGATCTCAATATTCCGACTGAATCATGGATCCCAATTTCATTATACCATCTCCATCATCATCTCTAGCCAACTAAGAATAGCCATGAGATAATTTTTCAGTGATATCTGTGGCTCGTTACCCAATGCATTGATAAAAGTAGATTTTATGGGCCCTCCTAGGGACGGAATGGATAACTGAATAGGATACACATACTAGAGGAAGTCCAACATTTCCATCTCTGTGAATCTATAATTTCTTCCTCTATACCATGACAAGAAAGTTCTGGCATCTTAGCATATAGACTACTAGCTTCAAGTAACCAATTTAGGATTACCAGTTGGTCAAGTCAACAAATTGAATCTGAACTTTAGGTATTTGGCAAAAACTTGTAATTCTTTCAGTGCATAAGCTCTCTCCTTCAAGAACAGGTCTTGTCCTTCTCCATCAGGGCTATGCTGAAGTCTAACTCTTATTCAAAGTTCTCAGCCTCATTCATATTGGCCCAAATGCCCCCATTTGGGTACCAGTTCTTCTCTACTAGTGCTTTTACCTTTACATAACAGATCTAGGTCTCACACTTAACTGACATTGCAACTCTGTAGCCTTTACAATTGGGCCCTGGGCTTGATCCTCTGCCCTATCTGCCTGTAACAGTAAGAGATATAGGTTTCTTCCAAGCTGTCAAAAAAGCATTCTGATTTTCTACTCCTGCCTTCAGTTTGGAATTCAAGGCTTTCTGTCTTTTTTCACATGTATTCTCAAAGCAAATGATACCAGTTCTAGTAATCATCACTGTCAAAGTGGCCAAGTGCTAGACATTGATCTTCCAATGTTATGCTCTACATGCAGCATTACATCACATGCCACTAGTGATAATTATTTGAGTAATTATGACGTCACTCCATGCTATGAAATACTATTGTTCCATTTTCCATGACAAACACTTTATACAGGTAATCATCAGATATGTGAGTAATACCATCCCAGAAATCAAGGGTTTCTTTCCTAAGGTTACTTCCAATTCCTCTAGCAATCAGGATTCTGGCAAGAAAGAGGCAGCACAGAAAGAGAGGCTAATGAAAGGACTATTTATAAAAATGAGGACAGGGTTAAAGGGACCAACAAGGGATTGGGAAGCACCCTGAAACTAGCAACAGTGGGGAGACATTATCATCCTTGCCCTAAAGGGGCAAGTTAAAAAAAGACCTTATTAGAATCCTGAAAGAGTTGTATAGCTGTAGGATAGGGCCACAGCCAGGTACTGTGGCCTCTTCTGCATTCATTTCTCAGAATACCAGTTCATGTGAGATGTAAGCAAACTTTAGGCACCCTTTCTGAGCATTATACTCATGATGTGAGAAAACTGATAAGGAACAACATACAGTTATTTGTAATATATATCTTTTCTTAGTTATTGTGTTTGTAGACAGGACCAATTTGTGAGTTGAACACAGGACCACTGCTATCAAGTCTCATATAAACCTTAAAACCATCATGTTGGGATCAGAGTGATACAAATAGCATTTTAACAGCAGATGAGCAATTCAAGCTGGATTAAAGAATGTGCACTGCCTTCGATTCTTTTTTTTTAAACTCCCATCCTAGTGATCTGATACTGATTCTGAATGAGATACAGTATATTCTACTGCTGTACACAACAAAATAGAATTCTCCTATATGTACTTTAAGAACATGGGTTTTGCCACACAGAAAACTGGCCCTAATTAGTAAGAGAAATCATGGCTTAACTATTTGAAAATCCAAATCATAATCATGGCAGATGTCTTCCAACATTTAACAGATTTATATTTAACAAACATATAGAGCAACCAATTCAATCACATTGAGTTACACTTTGCAACTAGTTTATGTTGGAAGATTCATCAGATTATATTGTTTAAATGTTCCATAGACTAAAATATTGTCCTTATGCTCCACATAAGGAGCATAGTGTGCTCCTTATTCCGCCACACTTGAGGGTTTTAATTAGCCATTATGTCTTGCATAGTAAATTGTGAACCTTACCTACATAGAAGCTGAAAATGTTTATATCTCCAATTTTTAAAAATTCAGATTTGGTTGAAGTTGAAACCATAGGCCACAGATTACAATAAGCATTTTACTAAAAAACTTTGAAAGAAGGGAAAAACACTGTAAAGCACAGGACAAACCATTACGGATTGTTATATAGTTTAGAGTAAAAGCTGGAATATATTTATATATCAGAATATTATGAAGACACCAAGAAAATAAGATAATTTGGTTGGGATGAAGAGCTATCAAGCCACATTTATTCTTATTCTATACCCTGTCATTATACAATTGAGTAGTTTGTAAAAAAAACTCTTCTGTTAGCTACAATTTTTATTATAATTTTATTATATTATTATATTGCATAATATAATAATATGTTATAATTATAACTGTCAACCTTGAAAGTAGGTACTTAGTTTAGGATATAAAATTAAATTTACACACTGTAGTTTATTTTATGGAAATTGAATTTGAATTTCTTTACAATCATGTAATATTTAACCACTAGCTATGACTTCACTGATCTTATTAAAATAAACTGAACCAGTATGTATTTAAAAATCCTTAAGATTCTTTTGGAGTTAGTATAAAGCAAATGCTTTCCTCTTTGCATCAGTTGTGGTACAAGTAAAATAATGATTACAGCAGACACATTTTTTAACTACTATGTAGAACCTCAACTTTTTTCATGCTATCCACCTCTGAGTGAATGGTTAAAGCATATGGATCTGCTATTACTGGCAACATAAAGTATCCTCTTTCCAGGGTCTTGTTGAAATCTATGATCTCAAATTTTCTTTTGCTTAATTCATATCAAACATTGTGTTTCAAGAATGACATGCTTGAAGGATTATTAGAAGGACACCATCCTTATTTCAAACTGAATTCAAAGTTTCCACTTTATGAAGACTTATGAGGTAAAGTTTTTAAAGTCTTAGAATTGGGGGAAAAATATGCCCCCTCTTGATTGTGGTCTCAAGAACACTGTAAAATCCTCTGCTTTGGCTAATTTGCTACATTGTTTCATTATTTTATTTTCCCCTCCCTTTAACATCATACCCATTTCCTCATTTCCTTATTTTTGTGTTGTGTTATTGTATGTATTTTCTGTATAATGCCTCAGATTCTCTGTGGAATAAGGCAGGTATGAATAAGTAAGAATTAATAAATTTCAGACTAGAGAAAGGATCAATGCTTACAGGATCACTGGAGGAAAAAAGAAAGAATCTATGACAGTTAACAAGTACTAGGATACTAACAGAACATTTGAGAAGATTTTGAGTCATTGAAGCCAAAAGTATGTGCCCACCAAAACAAGTGCCAAGAAGCTCTGAAAGAAGCAACTGTTCTTCAACAATTTTTTCAATACAGCAAACACATAGGCTTTGTCCACAGAGCGTGTAGGTCTGAGCTTACTTATATTCTGTAAATAAGTGCCCTTTGTGTATGGAACACAAGAAAATACATATACCCTGTCCTGTGAAGGTGTGAATTTAATTCCTACATTACACAATTGATCACAATGATCAACAGGGAGCATATTACCCAGGAACAGAATTGAATTGGATGTTGAAAGCCACAAGCCAATGTCTGGAACTTGCTCCTTTGTGATTTTTCAGTTACTAAATGTGTTGGCTGAGTGTTGTCTGGCTTTTCTGTTCAAAACTTCTACTGGGCTCTAGAAATAACTTTGCCAGTATACATAAATCCGGCAAATTTGTTTCTACCTTCATAACAAGACTGGAACTGAAAATGCAAAACAGCTTGTGAGATACCAGCCAAATTATTTCCCTGAATTCCTCTTTGACATTCTGTGCATTGTGAAGTATTTTAAAACCTCTTGTATTTGATTACCCTCTTTATAATTCTGTAAAAAGCAGGGGTGTCCAACCTGCCGCCCAGGGGTCTCATGAAGCCCAGAATGGCTATGAATGCGGCCTAACACAAAGTTGTAAATTTACTCAAAACATTTTGTCTGTTTTCATGTTTGTGTATTTAATGTGTGGCCCAAGAGAACTCTCCTCTTTTTCCAGTGTGGACCAGAGACGCCAAAAAGTTGGACACCCCTGCAACACTTTCTCGGATGTCAGGTGCAAAACTAATCCCTTTCAAGCTGCAGATAAGGATAGTGAGATATTGCCAAATACGACGGTTTCTCCCGGATTATATACTGAAGAAGTGGTGGAGCCAGAACCAGGTTGTGGTGGTTCTGTTTTAGCTTCTGAACTTCTGCTTTAACCAAAGGGCAATAGCCGCGGCGAGAGCGCTTGTGTCCAAGAGAATAAGGGCCACTGAGACTTCCTAGGAATACAAGCTTTCAGAACTGTCTCGGGAAAACTCCGTAGAAGACAGGTTGTTCAGGTGTGCAGTCCAGCCTTAAACTGGTACCGCTGGGAAGAGTTTGCAAAACAGGAAGGTGCAGTAGGGTGTGCCGCAACTTAGTTAACCTGGCACTTCCCCACCTCCTTCCCAGCGCCCCACTGCCAGGTTACTTCTGGCCCAGCGCCCTCAACGTACCTTTTCCGTGAACTGGGAGGGCTGCGTTCCCATAGCTCTCACGCCCACCCATCTCCCTCTACCCGTCACTGTTTACCTGATGAATATGGGGGCTGTTTAGTGGAGGCCCGTCGGCCAACGAGTGCCCAGGGGCGTCCCTATCTGAGAGTGGGAAGCAGAGCCTGGGTCTTAAAAGCCGCGCCGGTCAGGGGCGCGCCCGGGAGGCTGTCGTGCCGGGACGAGGCCTCAGGGAGGCACTCTGGTCCCACGGCCAGCGCACTCGGGCGGGCCGCTGGACGCCGACCTACGCTGACCGGGAACGTGTCTCCCGGTGACGCAGCCCCGGATAGGAACGTGCTGCGACGGCAGCGGCGACCCTACGCGCCTCCGTTGCCTGCGAGAGGACGGGCGCTGCAACGGGAGACGGCGGAACAAGACTTGGAGCGGCTGGCAGGCGGGCGTTGGGAAGCAGGACGCAGGCGCCGGCGAGGAAGTAGGTCTCGGGCGCCGCGCTCAACAAAGAGGGGCCACCCCTCTCAGGTACCGAGTGGTCCCCAGCCCCCGGAGGGCGGGGAGGCTGGGCCGGACAGTTCGAGAGCGGCGGAGGAGAGGAGAGGAAGGGCTGCGGCCGGAACGAAGCTGCGGGGTGCCGGGACCGTCCCTGGGCCGCTCCGCTTCTCCGCCGCTCCCGGCGGGGCGGAAGGGAAGGGGGCTGGGCCGCTCGGGGTCGTAGCCCGCGGCGCCAACTCGCCTTTACTTGTCCCTTGTGCAGGCGGAGCTGCAGGCTGAGCCTCCATGTTGGGAAGCGGCGCTGTGTGTCCTCGTTAGCGGGAACCGGGTCGCTGCGGGCTGAGCCTGCAGTGGCCGGGCTCTGGGCGAAGATGGAGGCCCCGCTGCGGCCTGCCGCGGACATCCTAAGGCGGAACCCGCAGCATGACTACGAGCTCGTCCAGAGAGTCGGCAGTGGCACCTACGGGGACGTCTATAAGGTGAGGCAGGCCGGCCCCAAACCCGGCTCTTTTCTTGTGGTCTAGAGCTCCCGGGAAGAGGGCCACTTTTTAGCGAAGTTTAAGGGGGAGCTTGCTTTTATTGTTGCATCTTGGAGATGAAGCGGCCGGGGTGCCGTTTACTCCGTTCAAAGCACCCGATGTTCATTGCTTGGTCAAATCGCTACCAAGAAGCAGAAATAACCTCACTTTTGCAAACCACTGTTGAACTTTTTTGTGGTATAAACTCATTTTCATGTTTGATCATGGCATTGAAGGGAGTTGAAACGACTTACGGAGTTTCAGTTGAGGATGTTCTAGTAGTAGCATGGAAAAATGCTTCATGAAAGACGGGAGAAAATATCGACATCCCGATATTTGCATTTAAAAAAACACTTTATAAGTATGAAACTTAATTTTAAAATTATGAAACCTTTCCTCTCAATTTTAAATGTACACAGTCTAGTATTGGGTCAAAACGATGTGAGCACAAATGTTATCCTATGCAGAAAGATGCTTTTCCTGGCAGAAGTTTCATCATTTGTATCTGGTCGATGATTTTTCGCCTACTTTCTGGAATTTATAATATCCTCTCTCTGGGGTTTATAACATCTCATGAGCAAACAAGTATAGGAGCTGCCGTATTTTTTATTGTGCTTTTTTGCATTATTTGAAACAAACTGATGAGAATGAGTTACTCTTAATTTGGGATTTAAAAAAACATAGAGAAGAAAACCCAATTCCCTAAATCTACTAAATTCTTAAGGATCAAGAGGAAGGAAATTGTTTCAGGTCGCCTCATGCTTTTGGTTCTGTGTTCAAAAAGGGAACATTAATTCAACTCACGGTTTTATTTAGGGAAATTTCATTTAATTTTGCAACAGCATTGTTTATTGGATTTAATCATGATATATATCCCATTATTCCAAACAACAGTACTGCATATAGCTCAAAGGGCCTTGTATGTCATACGGGCAATTAACCAGTAGACTCCTCTGGGGTATGTTGTTTTGCACAGGTGGTAATATGGAAGGAAAACATTTTTTCTTCCTACATTTCTGCTTTTGTTCAGTATGCTATTAATACGTACTAACAATTTAAGGTGGTGTTATGACAGCTCTAGCACTGTTTGATCCTACTGGGATGGACTGTAAGCCTTTCAATTCTTTAAATAGACATTTGAATCTTCTGTACTAGACGCTGTTCTAGATATGGGGTGTTGAATTGTGAGGTAGGTCCCAGATTTTACCATGTATACTTTTGATAAAGTGGATAATTATAACAGAATCCTTTTTTTCTTTATGTAGAATTAGGGATAATTAACTCAGCTGTTTATCCATGGATTAGTCATTTTTTGGAATGCTCTTTAAAAAATTTGAAATTCCTATTTGCCTTCTCAGTCTGACTTTTTAGTCATCTTTGTCTTATGATTCACTATGTATATGTGTTTTTCCTACAAAAATCCCAAGACCTCTCTTTTTTCTTTAAAAATATAACAACTTAAAGCTGCTATTCTTGCCAGGGAATAAAAAAGTTATAGTAGAGGGGCAGCTAATACCTGCCTTTCACCCTGGTGGTACCCTATGGCACTCTTCCACAGTTTCTAAACAGAGGATCAAAGACTGAATATTTATCATATACCGCCTTCACCACCACCCCCTCTCCCAGGATCCCCTTCCCTCACATTCATGCTCCCTCACCTCTACATGTATACTCATACTCCAGATGAGCCTCTGATTCCTAAACATCTTCAATTCTGTTTCCTTGTCTTTTGTTTTCCTGTGTTCTAATTACCTGGAATCACCTCCTACCCTCATTTAAACCTGTTGCTATCCTACCTGTCCATGAAAGCCTTACTGAAATGCTCCTCCAGGAAGCTCCAGTGTCCCTTCTCTCCAACCTCATCTGGTACTCTCCTCATTCCTTCTTTTCCAGCCACACTGGCCTGCTTGATCTCCCTTAAACATAATAAGCATGGTCCAAAGCATAATAAGCATAATAAGCTTTGGACCTTTTGTTCTTGCTATTCCTTTTGCTCAGAATGTCTTTCCTCAGATAGCCACACTTGCTGTCTTCCCCACTTGCTTTTAACACCTTTTACATCTTTTTTTCCCACTTCACTTTTTTCTTTATCACCATTTATAATAATGTTTTACTTATTTTTTCTTGTTTATTCATCTCAAGCCACTAACATACTCCATGAGGGTAAGAGTTTTTATATGTTTTGTTCACTGGTCAGTGTCTAACAGCACCTAGAATTATGACTAGGAACACAGTGCTTCTTAAAAATTTGATGAATGAACAAGTAAATATCAGTAATTATATCACCTAGTTCTGTGGGCATATGCTTTTAACATAACAACACTAAGTTAGCATTTAATATCCTGTTGTTCCTGTAATGCCTAATGTGATGTCCTGCATACGTACTTTATTACAAGTCTCAATTATTTGAGTTCTCTAAGAAAAAATATATTTGGAAAACTCTTTCATAGCATATCCATTTTCAGCGCTTTAAAGTCCTACAGAATTTTGCCAGTTAATATTTACTCTTTAATATGGGTGAAAACATGCACCATTGAGCTACAGTGCTGAAGTTTTTAATAAACTCAGAGCAGTTAGAGTAATTTGCTATTTATCACTGTGTTTCTGATGTGCTGAAAACCCTAGGAAGTTTTAGAAGTATTTCCAATCAGTGACATAAACTAGTAGCATAACTACAGTGAAGAACAATAAAGGTAAATTCATCACTGTTCTAATCAGGTATTATCTCTACTTTTTTCTCCTTTTTTTTTTTTACACCTGAGATACCTTATAAAGCAGGAGCTTTAAAAAGACTACAGCTTCAGATTCTTTGTGAATTACTTTTATGTTAAGACCACAGATCCCATCTGAGGCTCCTATCTTTCGTGAGAATCCCCAAGACGGGAAGGCTCAGTCTTAAACTGGCTATGCCCTGGTTGAAAGAAGAGGAATATAAAACTTTTTATATAGATGGGGTAAGTCATTGAGGGCAGGAACAAGAAATGGTGGCGGGGAAGAAACAAAAGAGAAAAGAAATGTGATTGAAGATGGATCAAGGATCAACTGAGTGAATTTTATTTATAATTATTGTTAATTTTTAAATCTGCTAACAGGAAGTTTGGAGATTTAGTGTCTGTATTACCTTCTGTCCACAGTGATCTAGACAATTATTGTATCATAATACAGTTTATAATCACAGTACATGACATTTGGGTGGTCTTTACCCAAATATTTTTATCAAAAGTGTTCCCATCCTAGGTTCCAGAGAAATTTCAGGAATCATTTTTATCTTACATGGAATACAGATATAGAGTGGGCAGTCTCTTCTATTTTTTTTCCTAACCTGTTTTGCTTTTTCTGATTGATTATAAAAGTGTGATAGTTTAGTTCCAGGAGGACAGGAACAGATATCTCTTGCTTGTTATTGTACAATAGCAGACAGGTAGATGCTCAATAAATACTTGTGCAGTGAGATTAATTGTAGAAAATTATCCAGAGATAAATACTGTTAATGATTTAATATAGTTTGTTTCAGGTTTTCTTCCTAAATGTTTTTATACCAATATGTTTCTAAAAATGGCTTTTATAAATTGGTATCGTGATACAGCTCTTTTTTCTAGTAGATTAGAATGAACAGCATTTTCCTTGGTTATTAAATATTCTTCAAAAATATCATTTTAAAAAGATCCATTGGCCCTGGCTGGCGTAGCTCAATGAATTGAGCGCGGGCTGGGAACCAAAGTGTCCCAGGTTTGATTCCCAGCCAGGGTACATGCCTGGGTTGCAGGCTATAACCCCCAGCAACCGCACATTGATGTTTCTCTCTCTCTCTATCTCCCTCCCTTCCCTCTCTAAAAAAAATAAATAAATAAAATCTTTAAAAAAATCCATTGAACAAACTCTCATTTAGATATTCTGAGTTTCATATTTGTTTCCAATTTAAAAAATTTGCAATTATAAATAATGTTACAATTTGTGTAGAAATATTTGTCAAATAGTCTTATCACATGGGTTCCTCTGGATGCTTGATAAACTGGGTCCACTTAGTAAGTCCCTCTTTTACATATGCCTTTCTCTCCCTAAAGCCAGACTCACAGTTTTTGGATGGCTTAAGGTACTTTGAAACATATTCCAAGATTCCATTCTATAAAGACAGAGCTTGATGCATGACAACACTCTGTAAACATTCACTTATTTAAGAAGTATTTATTGAGCTCTTGCTGGTGTGGCTCAGTGGATTGACTGCTGGCCTGTGAATCAAAGGGTCGCTGGTTCACTTCCCAGAGAGGGCACAAGCCTGGGTTGCAGGCCTTGGGGGCATGCAAGAGGCAACTACACACTGATGTTTCTCTCTCCTTCTCCCTCCCTTCCCCTCTCTCTAAAAATAAATAAATCTTTTTAAAAAAGAAATATTTATTGAGTTCCAACTGTATGTTAGGTTATAGGGATGCAAACACAAGAAAGCATGCTGTTAAAAAGGAATATATAATTTAGTCAGGAAAACAGGCATGTAAACAGTCATAATTTGAAATGTGCTGTAGTAAAGTAGAAGAAATATCTAATTCTTCCTTTATTGGGGGATAGGAGAAGAGAGAACTACGATGTAAACCTGGGAAGATTAACAGAGGAAAGGGCATTAAGTGCATGTTGAAAGAATGCGGGCGATTTCCAGGTGGGTAAGATGGGAAGATATACCAAGCTGTGGGAATAGTGTGTAAACATTTGGCAGCTTGAGAAACCATGATGCATTTTGAGGGATCTGCATCTGCTTTCCAAGTTCACTGTGACCAAACCTGGCAGAGATTTCATAGAAGGAGAACACAGGCTATTTTCTGGCAGAAAAGAACCAGATAGTGGACCTCGTGTGTCATGTCAAAGAATTTGTACTTTTTCCTGTAAATTGAGGAAGCACTTTAGGGGGGACTCTTTCATGATGTAGAGGATTAGACAAAGTTGCTGGAAGTATAAGTATAAGGACCAGT